AATACAAGAATGAATGGGGGGGGGGGGGAGTTAATGTTTAATATTTTTTAAACAGAATTTTTACAAACATATTCATTTATTCATTAATTATTTTTTTATTGACAAAGGGGAAGAAAAATGTAAGGGTTAAGTAGCAGCCTAACCTAATTATTCCCCTTGCTATCACAGTAAATGGGGTCCTTTTAAATTGTTTACGATAATATGTACAAGAGACAGCCGCAAGAACTCGGCCTGTTTTGGGTTTGTTTGTACTTGTCTCCTATCTCTCTTGCATTATCTCGCCCTATTCTCTTCTCTCTCTCTCTCTCTCTCTCTCTCTCTCTAACTCTTTCTTGGAAAAAAAATATCCGCACCATTGCAAGTTCAAGTAAGTTATCTCCCCTCTTCTTCTTTACCAACCCACTCCAAGCCCAGTCACGAAGCCAAACATTGAATCAGTTTCTTCATATATTTATTGGGTGAAACTCTGGGAAAACCTGCTCTGTGTGCATGAGTCACTGCTACACCTGCTCTGTGTGCATGAGTCACTGCTACACCTGCTCTGTGTGCATGAGTCACTGCTACACCTGCTCTGTGTGCATGAGTCACTGCTACACCTGCTCTGTGTGCATGAGTCACTGCTACACCTGCTCTGTGTGCATGAGTCACTGCTACATCTGCTCTGTGTGCATGAGTCACTGCTACACCTGCTCTGTGTGCATGAGTCACTGCTACACCTGCTCTGTGTGCATGAGTCACTGCTACACCTGCTGGGTTTGTCTACACACAGAAATGTCCCTTTGTAAATATCTATCACGGGGTTGGGTTTGTCTACACACAGAAATGTCCCTTTGTAAATATCTATCACGGGGTTGGGTTTGTCTACACACAGAAATGTCCCTTTGTAAATATCTATCACGGGGTTGGGTTTGTCTACACACAGAAATGTCCCTTTGTAAATATCTATCACGGGGTTGGGTTTGTCTACACACAGAAATGTCCCTTTGTAAATATCTATCACGGGGTTGGGTTTGTCTACACACAGAAATGTCCCTTTGTAAATATCTATCACGGGGTTGGGTTTGTCTACACACAGAAATGTCCCTTTGTAAATATCTATCACGGGGTTGGGTTTGTCTACACACAGAAATGTCCCTTTGTAAATATCTATCACGGGGTTGGGTTTGTCTACACACAGAAATGTCCCTTTGTAAATATCTATCACGGGGTTGGGTTTGTCTACACACAGAAATATCCCTTTGTAAATATCTATCACGTGATGGGTCTACAAGTCGAATCACGAAGGCTGACATTTTGCACTTTGGGATTCTGTGACCAACCAACTCTTAAGGGTACATGACATTGCTAGGGAAAGGGAAAGGTGGTTGTTCGTTGTGCTGTCCACATGCCACCCTCGAAATCCGCCGGCCTTAGAAACAGTTAAGATGCATCATGAACTGCAAGATTTGACAAGAGACCTTCACCTTTTTTTATCAGTCTTTTTTCTCTAACCAACACTATAGGTCGTGAAAGGTCAAATGGACTACCAACTCCCTCCCCTTTCCCCTTTTTTTTATTCTCGGACTGAGTACTTAGAGTGATAGCTCATTGGCTACGGGCTAAAAATGTTAAAACAGGAAATATAGGGTTATCTAACGGCAGGCATTTTAGTACATTGGGTCAAAGCAAAACAAGAGATAGAGGATCAATTTAAGAGAAGAACACATTGGAGATTGGCGTCTTCTTCAAGTGGAAAAGGTGGGAAAACTGAAAGAGTTCAATCAGCTTCCGAGTTAAATTAAAACCGCATTCTTCACTAGTGGCTTCTATATACTTGATGAAGCTTCACATTGAACGCTAGGCTGAGATTGTACTTTACCAAGCCAGCACTCTGACTGACAAATAAAACACATTCCTTTATATTGTTAAGACGTGGGTTGAACTAAAGAAAATAACTCATCGATTCTCATATCGCTGGTATCTCTCTGATTGCAGAAGCACAATCCAACTATGATCAATCAATATCTCCGGTAAAAAGAAATAATGTCACAATCTCCAAATCAAATTTACATATCTGAATTCACTTACACAAATTAAAGAAAACAATCCTCTATCCTCAGTCAAGAAATCCAAAATCATCACTAAAGTTTTTAAACACATTTACACACACTAATTAAGGTCATTTACGCCCAACAGCATAAACAAAAATCATCCTACTTCGCACTTAGAAAAAAATGGTTAGTCAGGGAGGAACAGGGTTACAACACTGCCCCCTCCCTATTTCTGTTCGTCCCGAACAGACCCTGGTCTCCTCACAATACTGCCCCTCCCTATTTCTGTTCTTCCCGAACAGACCCTGGTCTCCTCACAATACTGCCCCTCCCTATTTCTGTTCGTCCCAAACAGACCCTGGTCTCCTCACAATACTGCCCCCTCACTATTTCTGTTCATCCCGAACTGACTCTGGTCTCCTCACAATACTGCCCCCTCCCTATTTCTATTCGTCCCAAACAGACCCTGGTCTCCTTACAATACTGCCCCCTCCCTATTTCTTTTCATCCCTAACAGACCCTGGTCTCCTCACAATACCGGTGCAACCGATCCAGGTGCACAACCTCGTCCTGGAACACCAAATCAGTCTGGCCGAGCCCATTTTCACTGTCTGGCACGATGTCCCCATTTGTCTAACCCCACCGCACTCTTCCTTTGACAGATCATCACGCTCATTTCCAAGTATCCGATCAACTCGAGAATCACATGACGAGGCACTAGCTACAAGGACCACCGCATCACACGATGAAAGAAGTTCCATTGGACAACAAGTGGCGACAACATTCTTCTTCTGAAGGTTGCAAGCTTGAGTGTCAAAATTCCTAGCCGATCGGACCCATCGGTAGTTTCTATTAAAAATCACTAATCTCCCCACAGGTAGTCTACTGCGCGCTTCCTTTGACTGCTCTATAAGGCTTGCGATAGACACAGGATCATTACCGTCTTTTGTGTCACATATAATGGCTTCAGACTGTGCGGGTATTCTGGTATCAAGACCCTTTTTATCTGTTCTTCTTCCATGTCGTCTCCCAACAACGAAATTTCCGTTATTCTCAATAAGACTAGGATGAATTATCGATCTCGATGCCCCGTATCTAGCAGACATCTGCAAAAACGAACTCCTATTTTCCCTTGTACTCTCAGACTTCTATTTTTTCCTAGGACGGCCACTGGGATGATAAGACTAGAGCTTCCCGTGAATCTCGCTGCCTGTCTCCGCCTCACAAGACCGGCAGAATCTAGTTTGAATCTAGTTAGGTTTAGAGATTGGATGTTGGCATGATGACTACCCAATCCATCTTTCTCTCTTGGTTGGCCTGCATATCCCTGAGTACAATTTCTCTGAATGCGGCCAGGAGCATTGCAATTTCAGCATTGAACGACCGGTCTATTTGGTCTGGGCATTTGCTGAGACCGTTGGTCATCTATAGTTTCCACTACTTATCTGATGATATGCGCAAGGTCCTCCTCCTGAACATGAGGTCCCCGACTGAAATGTGTCGTTTTTGTTGTGTCTTTAGCTGCCTCAAAAGATAGTGCGTATATCGAAGCATCGCTCGCCTCTTTTTCCACTTAATCATATAGCCTTCTTCAATTCGGGGTCACGAACACAATCAATAAACGCGTCCGTTATGAGAACGTCTAAGATCTCCTGGGACAAGGTCGGATAAGCCAGGCGTGCCAGTCGTTCGATATTTGCCACCAATTCCTGTGGTGTCTCTCCTATTTTTTGCTGCCGAGTCTTCAATTGCACTCTATAAACCTCCTTCAAGTGTTCGTCCCCAAATCGCAGCTCCATTGTTTTAACAATGACCTCGTAATCTTGCTGGTTGTTAACTACCTGTAGTTATTGAGAGGCCTTTCCCCGTAACGCTAACATTAATCCAGTTGCTTTTTCCTCGTTCGTACTCCAGTTGTTCACTTTAGCAGCCGCCTCAAATTGTCTTTTATAGACTGTCCACGAGACTGTACCATCAAAAATAGGTGGCTTGACTTTCCAAATTGCTTCGCTCAATCCTGATTTTTTTTTTTTTGATGCGTTGAACCTTGCCCAGCTCGACCTTGACCGCCTGGACCTCATCGTTAAGGGTTTAAATCTTTTGCTCCATCTCTACTGTAAGCTGTGACGTCACAGCGGCGATTTCCTCCCTTAACTCACTTCTGAATTCCTCCAGATCTATTTTCAGACCAGTCGCCATTGTCCACATTGACCCTAGAAGTTCTTCTTTTATTTCACTCTACATTCTGCGAGGTCAGCCTTCATTTCAAACTCGTAAGTGTCCGGGTCAAATAAGCGAAAATTTAAAAAAATAATAGTTAAATTTATCTCAATCAAAGAATGATTTATTTTTTTTAAATAAATCGGGTAAACCCATTTTCACTGTATTTAATATTTGATCTATATGTATTAGCTTAACGGGTAAACCTATTTTCGCAATCTACATTGATTTTCGTGGCGAAAGGAAAATACGTAAAAGGAACATTAGCCAAGTTTGACATAGATCTAAATCCTATCCACTAGATTAGTCATAAAAAAACAACAACTAAGTCCCGGCTAGTTAAAGATAAAAAAAAAATATAAAATTTCAAAATTCAAACATAATTATTGTCTACCATAATAGAAAAAATCTTTTGCTTTCATTTGACGATCAGGGCCGCCATTACGCCAAGATGGCCGATTACTCCTATGCATGCATAATGATCTAATTAATAGTAATAAATGTTAATGTAAACAAAAATTAGAAGAGGGTCGCGCAATTTGTAAGGCCGGCCCTGTAGAAGAGGTTGTGCTTTGTTTTACTTTGCTCTGAAATTCAAATTCTAGTTTGTTATGTTCTCTAGGTTTATTGCTAGGCGCAGCAAACACCATACCGAACAACAGAAGCTTAAAAAAAACCTAAAAACAATAACCTGCAAGACAAAGCCTTCATGACGAAACGAATAAATATAAAAATAAAAGTAAATTGAAATAATGAATTATAATTTTTATTTTGACGAACAGAAGACAAGTGGATGTCTTTAACATGTTTCAATATCAACTTTATTTGCTGCCTTGATATACAATACACAAAATGGGACATGACAAAAGCTTTCCTGTTAACATGATCATAAATTAAAAAAACAAACAAATACGCTTGGCTGTAGAACATAATCTCCACAAAACATGTTTTACCTAACCGTGGAACAAAGAACAGAACAAAGAACAGTTCCTTCTTCCACCCATTGTTGTCTTTGTTCTTTCTTTGAAGTGTTGATGTTTATTTAGAAGGGCATGCTCTAGTGGTCTGCACTCATTACAATAAGCGCATTTTATAAAAGCTGTTCTAAGACACTCTTTTCTTTTTTTACAAAATACATGAACTTTGTCAGTGCTAAATTTAGCTAAAGACAACTTAAGCTTTAGCTTAGAGCCCCCCCACTTGCTTAGAGCCCCCCCCCCCCCTTATAAATAGTTTCAGGGCTATTTTCAATATTTTGGAATAGAAAGGAAAGATTGCGTTATGTAAATTACGACTTCCATATCTCAAATAGGTTAGGGCCTTATCAAAAACTCCGGCACTGGTCATTAGGTAAACAATTGAAGTTTACAGTTGATAAGCTAACTGCTTACTATACTTTCAAACAAATCAAAGGCTAAGAATGTGCAAGACACAATAGCTAAAAATGTGCTATACACAAAAGCTAAAAATGTGCTATACACAAAACATACATCTTCAAAATTTCATTAGCTGAACATTTTTTAAGCTGGCTGCCTGGTCGTGCGGCATGCGCGTTAGATTTTCGTTCAGTTGTCTCGATGGTCCCGGGTTCATATCCTGCCCGCTGCCATCCCCCGTCATCCTGCGGTGAGGTTTGGGCTAGTATGTAGATTAAATTCAACTCTGAAGGAACATTCTATGGCTCCTTCTGTCTCGGAAGACAAAGGATGTGCCCAGATGAGTCACTGGTTTTGGTTTCGTGTTGAGACGGGGCAGACTCTGGATCTGGACTCTGATCAAGCCAATTCTGTAGCGGCAGAGTTTGCCACAGTTCGTGCATGTATATACATCTGTCCTAAGGCTAGCTTTCTTTTTCTTTCTCTTGACTGAGGCAGCTTCGTTTTTTTTTGCATTCGGAAGGAACATTTGACACATGAAAAAAAAAATTTAGATCTACAATGTAATGAAAATAAATAGATACAATTGGACACAAATGGCTTATAGACTTATAGATGTGATGTGTTCTCTGCAGTGTCGTCTCGATGGTTAGGGTTCGAACCCTTCCCGCCTCCATCCCGCTGGATGCTAGGGCTATGATGTAATAATCTTCAGTTTTGAAAGAACATACGAAACATACAAGGATTGTTCGTTATAAAGCTCATAAAATAGAAGTTCTTTGAAATGCTAAGCCAGTAGAGACTCTAAGGTGTTTGAAAGATGCCAAAAAAAAACAGCAAAATATGTTTAATAATTGATTTAATGCCATCCATTTTTATTTCTAAATACTTATAAGTTATTATATATCACGAAACTTGCGTATACAATAGATGGAATGCGTCTAGATGTACAGTATTATTGCGAAAAAAAAAGATTAGAATGTTACTTGAAATGTATATAACAAATACAAAATTAATTGTTTGTAAAATGGCGAACTACAAAAGAATACAGAATTCATAGACCTATATATATATACAATATATATAGGTCTGTGGCAGAATTTCATTTCAAAATAATGCGACCATAGACAAATATTTACATATGCTTATGAGTGCGACACAAAATAGTGCGGGTATATTTACGAATGAGAGAGATGTGCTTTAATCTAGAAAGGATACTTCCATATCTAGTGGCAGACCAAATCAATGGAGGACGGAATTAAAGAAACAGAAACATATTTTGTGCATTGTTCAACCAATTGCAGCAGCTAGTCAACAGGAACAAAAACATGAGCATCATTTGGTAATAACAAAAAAATAAAAAATAAACAATTTACATTTGGCTGCAGGAAATGATTTCAATAACAGCATAATTATTTTCTTTGACGGATGAAACAACAGGAGTATTTTCTGACTCTAATTCTAAACTTGATTTACCTAATTAAAATTGTTGACTTTTATTTAATTGGTATGCACCTACTAGAACAGGGCGTTATATTATAAAACTTCTTAGTAATTAGATCCTAGAAGTTGTACAAAACCCAAGATCTTAGTGTTAACAACTTAGGTTCAAACACTTCAAAACGAGCACTACAGTTTAGATGATACATCTTCAAAAAGTTCTCTCAATGTGTCTTAGACAGCTTAATGTCCAAATATTTCAAAAGCTAAATATTATTAAAGATCTAAGCTAGATACGGGACCTAAAAAGATAAATACTTTAAGCTGGAAACAGGATGACTGTTTGTTATAAAGCTAAAAAAAAAAAAGAAATTCTAAGCTAGAAGCCTGTATAGGCTCAAATGTTGTAGACAGACGCAAAAAACAACAACACCAAAATTTGTTTAACAACTGATAAAATGCCATTCTAAATGTTAAAATTAAAATCATGAAAACTTTATCTACTATGTAGGAATAAAAAATGAAACTAGAAGACAATGGCACACAGACATATAGTTGCCGCATTACAAGAGCCCTACCGTTATAACATCTTCTCTTTGGTGATGCATAAAATGTACCGAGTTTTAAGTGTAGTGTATAGAAACAATGTAACAAAAAGAAGAAAACTGCTAAAAAGCTAAACATTTGATTACGTAGTAACTAGGGTTCTTGAGTTCTGAGCTCACAGATCAAAGTGAGTCTACTAAAGAAGTAGACAGCATTGGCCAATAGGATTACAAACATAGGAGAACAATGGAGTTCCATAGAGCGCTCTTACGTCCTTCATGGGCTTGAATGTCATAAGATGATCGTCCGGCTCAGTAAGACGTCATGCTCCGAACATTTTTATTCTTTTTTTTTTTGATACACAAAAGTTGTCAACATAACAATGTACAATAGTCGGGAGATTTTAGACCGTTAACTGAAATGCCAAGCTAGTTTGTTTTACTTTGCTAGACTAATGTAGTCGAAATGCCTTATTCAAAAACTTTTGAGTCGAATTATTACAGAAGTCTCCGGGGAAACGGTGGATATAATAATAATATAGAGATGAAACGACGTTGGAACTCTTCCATCTGTTGAGATTTGTTGTGAATATCTTTTAAGAATGTGTTAACATTCAGACATGGAATGATAACTAGAATGAAAATATAATTATTTTTTAATCTTAACCTTCAACAAGAAATTGACCGGTCCCGCATCCCTCTTTCCCAATTTTGATACAAAAACTCGTGCCCCCCTCCCACAGGTTTGAGAAACGCTGCACTAGAGTTGTAGGAGCAGGTGAGACTTTTTAAACCTAGAGCAAGACAAGTACAAGTTGTAGATTATGAGAACTGTATCATCTCCTGGTTCAACGACATTCAGTGGTAATACTATCGTCGTTCACATGACTCCAATGTTCGTCCCATAGACTTATATATAGGCTACTATATCTAGACTGGACACTACTAAAAATGTCGTGAAAATTTGTTTTAAAGTTAAAACAAGGCGTGGTTTTGTAAAGTAGCTATCTATACTATAAAGTAGAAAGTAAGGCGTATGTATGTATGTATGTGACTTATAGACATCAAAACCGCTTGACTAATCTTGATAAAACTAGGCAGGAATGTTCCTTGGGTACTAACTTAGACCGTGGTGTATGTATTGTAGCCCTAAAACAAACTTAAGACCCTCAAAAAAAATAAAGTTGTCCGACTCTATTCAAGCTATAGTATTTATGGATCTAGGCCATGGTTAACAATGTTGACATGAGAAAAGATAGAAAGGATTTAGACCTAGATCTAATTTTAAGAAATACACTTTGCGCAGATAGTTTTTTACTTTGACACATGAAAATACAAAAGAAGATCCATTGATTTCATTATATAACAAAATTAACCTTCAATTTTGTGTTTCAAAAGCATTTTTTACATAAATTAGTTCGTGATATCTGTGACTACAGATTTCCTGGCGAACATTCTTTCATTAGAGAATACCGTAATGAATCACGTAGTAAAAAAATAAATTCGTTTAATTGTTAACTTTATAATCCCATCCCTAGATCTAAAACTCTAATTCAACTCTAAGATGATATTATTTATACTTTATCACATGAACATGCTAATTATAGTCCATTCATTTCATATTTTGATCAAATAAACATTCCAATTTGGTTTTCTAAAGCATTTTTAAGAGACTACATTCGTTTACGAAAGCTGCGAAGCCGAGTTGAGATAGGCCTAAGTGCGCTTGAACTTGGCTTGTCTTGGCTACCTAGAAGGGGGCTCGAGGTTCGACACCCGACTCGGGCAGAGTTGGGTTTACTGAGCGCCTAAAGGCAGCACGGAAAACCAACTCCTAGATACCCCCTCCCCCCCACCGGTCCACAAATGAGATTGGACCAAAGCGCTCTGAGCATGCTATAAGCATGAAAGAAGCGCTATATAAAAGCTATAATAATAATAATAATAATATTCATTCATGAATCGTGTAAAAAATTTATTTCGTTTAATCGTTCACTTTATAATCCCATTCATTTAACAAAGCTATCGCTCTTTTCGTTTTTAATAGATATGAATGTATCGGCTTCGGGTAAACCCATTTTCGCAAAACTAATTAAACTAAGCGAAAGAGAAAAAACTTGAAAGGATCATTAACTAAGTTTAACATACATCTAAATCCAATCCACTAGATTAGTAAACACAAACTTAGACCCGCAGGCCGCGGGTAATGTCAGGCTAGTAGGAAATGACATTGTTCTTTTTTTTTCACAACCCTCAACTATGTAACATATAATTTAATTTTTAGATCTAGATCTAGTAATTGAACATGAAAAATAAGAGTACTCTCATCTCATAATTATTATTTTGCAATTTTTAGATACATAGAAAGATATAGGTAATCAATCTATTTAAATGTACATAAGATGATTAAAATCAACAGACATAAATTATTTCGATCTAGGAGTTTTGAAACATTATCTCAATGGAAACTAACAGGAAATGGCTTTTTTTCATTTATTAGCGTGAATAATAGCCCATTCTTAAGAAAATCCGAGAAATGATTTTGCATTATTTCTAAAATTTGAAAACTAAAGATCATTACTTTTCTAGACAGAAAAGATTTATTGGAGCGACTTTCATTAGAGCTTGAAAGAGTTACGTACATAATAAATCTATATATATAGGTCTGTGAATCGATCAATCGAGGATGAGAATTAGTTTCCGGTTTCCAGTCTAGATATTAACATTAATATAAGTCTATATGGGCTAGGGTTCGTCCTGACTTTCTTTGTATTTGGACACGTATCGAACCATTCCACATGCGCACTGCGCTGCGCAGGTAACATTCAGTACGAACTACTGCCAACTAAGAGGCATTGCTATCCTTCAGGTTTGCTTTCAAAATTCTTCGTTTCGCTTTGTTCATGCAATTTCCTTTGGGATATTCATATCAAGTTCATCGGAGTTATCTGCTCTTTGTTTACATTTTAAAAGATATCCTTGGGGTGATATAAATACAGTACAGAAAAGAAGAGAAAGAGATAAGGATAAATGTGAGAGCGATATAATGGAAGTTAAAGAAAGATGTAAGACGATAATTAAAGGAGAGATATTTTCAAATAGATAGAATGAACACTATGAAGGGC